CTAACTATAAGCTTTATCAAAAAGGAAAGTTTTAAGCCTAGCCTTAAAAGTAGACAGGGTGTCTGCCTCAATGCCCCATACCTGTCTATGTCTCTAAAAGAGGGTCGTTAAAGAATGATGAATAGAAGAGATCTTCCGGTCCCCCGTAAAGGGGTTGGGGTTCATCGCAACCAGAACTCCTTTACTGTATAAAGCGTCAAACTTGACGCTATTCCTGACATGTTGAATTAAAATAGCTTCTTGGATGGGAAGCGAAATGTCTTCAAACTTGGAAACAAAATCCAGTGGATTGTTTTTTTAACTTTTTTTTTTTAGAAAACCCCTATTTTGTTGTTCTCTGTGAACATAGATGCAATTCAACTAGAAAAATCCTTTCCCTGTAGAATTCCCATAAACAGGATACCCGATACTACCACCGTGATTTATTTAGCAACCAGTGGCGCTCCTGATCAGCTGAGCCTTCATCTTTAAGAGAAAGATGTGTTTAAAGGTATTAAACTGTTAAAAGACAAATCTGTGTCGCTGGGATTTGAATTAAAAATGCCACTGAAATGTATTTATTTATTTTTTTTTCATAAGGAAAACCAGCATGACGGAGCCGGTCATGCAAGCTAACGCTAACTCAACTACAGAAAAATTAAAGTAATAAATTCACCGTTGAGTTAGCGTTAGCTTATGAGCGCCACATGCGTCACGTCACATGACTAAGAAAACGTAACGGGATTGGCTGGGTGTTGGACGCCACAATCCATGACTAATGTCTGTGACCTGAAGTAGACCATAGATTAGGATCATGTTTAGAGACTCGGGGGAGAATAATCTGCAGTGAGCAAAGAATTGATCTACTTAGACTCAATGATGGGGAATGGCTGAAACTACCCCCCCCTCTTACTAATGCATGGCTGGCTCTGAGTTCTTGGGGCCAGAGTTTGCAGAGGAGGAACCAAGACCAGTAAAGCGGTTTAATGAGGTGGAAGTACAGCCGTCTGATTGCAGCTCCTCACCTATAGCCAGGCCGTCGCTGAAGTTGTGCATGCCGTCTCCCATGATGACCATCCAGGCGATGCTGGCGATCCCAGCATCCTTCATCTCCTGGTCCGAGTGGCAGTTCCCTCCATGGGAGTGTCCGTGACCGTGGGAGTGTCTGTGCTTCCTGGTTTTCTGGGCGGGGTCCCTGGTGGGAGACTGGGGCTCCTTTGTAGGAGCCAGCGGGGTCTTTGTGGTGGGGGAGTCGGGGGTCTGGAGCTCTGTCAGCTGGGTGTCGTTGTGAGTGTTGTCGCAGGAGATAGTTGAGTTCTCCGGGTCTGATCAGAGAGGAAGAGTTTAGGGGGACGACCGTGGAGCAGATGGAAGGACCTGAACCACTAAAGAACCTGCTCACCGTCATTCAGAGGCTTCAGGGTCAACCACTCTGCGTCTGAACGGCGGTTTAGCGTGTGATCCGACAGCTTCCTGCCGATCTTCCTCTCCTCGTTGTTCTTCTGCAGTTCCTGTGAAGAGCAATGATCCACAGACATTCATCAGATCTTCATGAACAGAAACACCAAACCAAGCGTTTCCTGCCAGACTGATCCGTCTGTAGCGCCTTCAACTCACCCTCTGGTCTTTGAAGTGTTTGAACATGCCGATGCAATGCTCGATGATGAAGAGGAGGTAGATGCCGGCCAGCGCAGTGAGACCCTTCCACACGCCATCAAAGGCGGTGACCATATCAGTGGTATCGCTGTCTCCATGCTGGCTGTGGTCGTGTTGTCCCTGAGCCTGCAGAGGACGACATTAAAAAATGGAAGGAAAACACATGAATACAAATTTACACTCCCTTGTGATCACATCCCATTTATTTAAAAAAACACCGCGAGCAAAATAAACATACTCCCATGTATATTAAACTACTTCTGCGAATGGTTTATCTACCACCGCACAACAAAATCACACATGCACGAGTAACTGCTGCTCCGAGAGGAGAAAACCACTCTCCGTGCCCACCAGCTCCTCCCAGACGCGCTTAGGATCATGCTGGGGATCTCAACGCGAAAACAATTTTCTATCCAGCGGTCACACTCGGGGACGGCTGTGATCTCTAAAGCTCTCGGACTGATTTTCTCCCCGCTTGAAAGAAAATGCGTCTTCAGGGTATATACAGGAATAAGTAACTCTAAGTTCTAATCAGATCTCAAATTTTATTGCTCTTTTAAAGCTATATATATATATATATATATATATATATATATATATATATATATATATATATTGAAGGGTGGAACGGTTCACAAAATCCCTGTTTCGGTTTGGTTCATGGTTTCGTGGTCACGGTTTTTGGTTCGGTTCGGAAAACGTTGATTGTTAGCATGACATGTTGGTCGTGTTGCTGTTAGCATAAACAAAACGTGTTGCACAATGCTTGCACACTGTTGCACTTTT